GTTTCAATTATAGAAGCTAAACAAACCCCAGAATAAAAAGAAAGGAGAGGCTGGGAGCTTCAGTCACCGGCCAGCCTGAAAACGGCCCTCAGCCCCTCACCCAGACTGGCCAGGCACCCCAGTGGGGACTCCCACCCTAAAGGGGGTGTGGCCAGCCTGAAAACAGCCATCAGCCCCTCATCCAGGCTGGCCAGGCACCTCAGTGGGGACCCCCAACCTGAAGGGGGTGTGACCAGCTGCGGACAGCCATCAGCCCCTCACCCAGGCTGACCAGGCACCCAAGTGGGACCCCCACCCTGATTCGGGACACCCTTCAGGGCAAACCAGCCGGCCCCCACCCGTGCATCAGGCCTCTATCCTATATAGTAAAAGGGTAATATGCAAACTGACCCTAACAGCAGAAAGACTGGGAATGACTGGTCACTATGACACACACTGACCACCAGGAGGCAGACGCTCAATGCAGGAGCTGCCCTCTGTTGGTCAGTGCGCTCCCACACGGGGGAGCTCTGCTCAGCCACAAGCCAGGCTGACAGCTGCCAGTACAGCGGTGGTGGTGGGAGCCTCTCCTGCCTCCTCAGCAGCGCTAAGGATGTCTGACTGCAGCTTAGGTCTGCTCCCCGCTGGCAAGTGGACATCCCCCGAGGGCTGCCGGGCTGCCAGAGGGATGTCTGATTGCCAGCTTAGGCCCAATCCCCCCAGGGAGCAGGCCTAAGCCAGCAGATGGTCTTTCGCCGAGGAGTCCCAGACTGCGATTTGTGCACCGGGCCTCTAGTATCCTATAATGGCCATATTGATTAATCAATCAAAAATACAAAATTTAGAGTTTCATTTTTTTTAAATTTAAAATACTCTAGAATACACATCTCAAAACAATAAATTATGTATAGACTAGAGATAATGTACATTAATATAATTTTGTGATAAATATATCTGAAAAATGATCTGAGAAATGGTTATGTTTTTGAGATTGAGGAAATTAATATCTCAGTATAACAATCCTATATAATAAAAGCCTAATATGCAAATCGACAGACTGGCAGAACGACCGGCTGCTATGACGCACACTGACCACCAGGGGCAAGATGCTCAATGCAGGAGCTTCCCTCAGCCTGGCTAAGGCGGGTGCCAGCGGGGGCCCCCTGATCGCCTCACTGGTCGCCCTGCAGAGGGAGGTGACGGTGAGCGGGCGGCGCCAGGCCAGCCCAGGTGGGTGCCAGAGGGAACCCCCTGATCGACCCATTGTTTGCCCTGAAGATTGGCCCTGATTGCTGGCCAGTCTTAGGGATCCTACCCGTGCACAAATTTGATACAATAAGTTACAATAGTATATTGTATCAATAGTATATTGATACAATAAGTTAAAGTTTCTTAGTCACTGTAATAAGATACATCAAACTGTTTCCTTTATTTTTGTGCTGCAATGATTCCATAACTCCAAGCTGAAGGATCCATTGGACGTTTGTGGGGAGCCGAAACCCTATATCGGCTCCCCACAGACGTTTACAAGTTTACCATATAGCTTTTTGTTAATTAAAAGGGCAGCTATTACTATTATTTTATATACCACAATGTGTTCTTGAAGTATCTCCTACTGGTTAAGAAAATCTTGCTAAAATATGAAGTGTCTAGAGGCAGCCAGAGCAGATGGTGTGGTTTTAGTGTATCACGAGTACAGTGTTTTAAAATATCATTAATGAATTTTATAAATGACAGAACACCACTAATTTTGAAATCAGGAGACGGGAAAAAAGTAAGCCCTGACTGGTGTGGCTCAGTTGGAGTGGCATCCTGTGCCCTATTCACCATCCCATTCCTGGTCAGGACACATACCTAGGTGCAGGTTTGATCCCTAGTCGGGGAGAGTATGAGAGGCAACTGATTGGTGTATCTCTCTCACATTGAAGTCTCTCTCTTTTTCTTTGTCCCTCTCTAAAAATCAAATTTTAAAAAGAGTAAGAAAAAGTTCCAATTTTAGTTTTACGTTGAACCTTTGGTCTGTCCTTGACTTCATTTCTTTTGGAGATTTCTGGTACCTTGGAGGTAGACACATGAGCATATTTTAAACATTTTTAGGATGCAAAACTTGTCAAGGTTCTAAAATAAACTTTTATGCATTAAGAATTTAGAACGCATTTAGATGACTACTGATTGTTACAGCCCACTTTATTTTTTATTTTTATTTTTTAAATATACTTTTATTGATTTCAGGGAGAGGGAGGGAGAGACAGAGAGAGATAGAAACATCAATGATGAGAGAGAATCATTGGCTGCCTCCTGCATGCCCCCTACTGGGGGTTGAGCCCACAACCTGGGCATGTGCCCTTGATTGGAATTGAACCCATGACCCTTCAGTCTGCAGGCTGACACTCTATCCACTGAGCCAAACCAGCTGGGGCTACAATTCACTTTCGAAAAAGTACTATGCTTGTCTATTCTGTGTGTTGGTTTATTATTTACAACTAGAGGCCCAATGCACGATATTCGTGCATGGGTAGGTTGCCTGGCCGGTGATCTGGGCTGATCTGGGCTGATCTGTGGGGCGATTGGTTGGCCCCCTGCTGGCACCCACCTTGGCTGGCCTGGAGCCTGTGGGCTAGGGGCAGCTCCTGAGTTGAGCATCTGCCCCCTGGTGGTCAGTGTGCATCATAGTGATCGTCATTCTGTTGTGCGGTTGATTTGCATATTAGGTTTTTATTATATAGGATTTTTCCTTTTCAAACTTGGAACTGTTATGTTTATTTTTGTCTAAATAAAACTTGTTGTTTTTAAAATTTTAGCCATATATGTAGTTGACAGAAGAGTCAGAAAATGTACATGTATACATTTTTAAAAATTGATGTGAGATCATACCATACATCCTGTTTTGTAACTTTTTCACTTAACATATCAACATAGGTCAATAGATTGTTTTCTGCAAATCATTTTTACTGGCTATAATATACTGAGTATTTTTAGTGAAAAGTATATATAGTGCATATTATTTTACCTGAAGAGTTAATGGTCCTTTAGGAAGTAAGGTGGCAGCTTCTTTTTAAATGCATGTGTAAGTCGTGTTGAACAAATCTATAGATAATTATTTCAAAAAAAACATAGTGTTTGGTGTCTTTTCAGGCTTACTGCAGTATATTATATCTAAAGCCAAGAATGCAGATCATCTTACGTGGACAGAAAGTGAAGACACAACTAGTTTCGAAGAGTCTTGCTTACATTGAACATGATGTTTATCGACCAAAATTTTTAGTATCCTTTGTTTTCCTTTTTATGATGTCGTATTGAGCTGTATTAGTTGTGTACTCCCCTACCACTTTTCCTCCTCTTCTCCTGATACTGATTCTGAACTTGTCTAACTGTGCCCCTTTTTTTTGTACTTTGGGACTCAATAATTAATGGAATAGAAAGGATGACTCGAAGGGAGGAAGGTGGTGTGTTCAGAATTTTCCTTAACATTTAAGACGAAAACAGTGAAAATTACTTTTGGATTCAACTGCAAAAATAAAGAACATTATGGGATAATGATGTATCATAAAAACAGACTCATCAAAGCTTATGAAAAAGTTGGATATCAGTTAAAGGTAAGCAGGAAATGTCTTTCATAAGTTAGGATAACTTGTTATTGGGTCAGATGTGAAATTGTACACTTTTTGCCTAATGACTTTTAAATGTCAGTGTTTTAATAGCGTTGGTATGGCTTTTGAACTTAGAATACTGTGATATTAATTTCTGATTTGATCCTGAGTAATGTTATGAGGGGGACAGAATATTATGTCTCTGTTTTACAGATGAGGAAACGGGCTAAGTAACATGCCCTAGACCTAACCATGCAGATCTTTTGATGCATTTGGATCTGGATCCCTGCTTACTTCCTGCTGGAATGAAATTGGTTGCTTTTAACTAGTGCTGACTCAATAGCCTGAAAATCAGTATCTGGTAGGTGATTTACTTTTTTGGAGTTAGTTCCTAAATAAAATAGAGCCTTCCTCCTAAGCCATAGCCATTGTAGAGTTCAGTTTAGGGCGATGGACATTGTCCCATGTCGTTCTGTTTATCCTTTACCTGTTTTCACAGAAAGGTGTATTGTTGTTTTTGGTGTGTGTGTGACTTCAGTGATCAATTCGGAAAATCATTTTTTTAAAGGTTTTAAGTCTAGACATGTTTTGTTTTCTAATTCTATGACTTTCATTTTCAGTTTCTCCTATTTCATTCTGAATTCTTTGTAAAATTATGTGAACTCTACATAGTATGATAGTATGGGTTTAACTTGAATGTGTCTCTGTATTACATATTTTACATGGCACAAACTCAGAATTTTTATAATTATATCCACTCTTTATATCCACTAAGTTTCTGAATTTTACTGGTAATTGGAAATGCATTTTTGGTAATAGGCCTTAGTTACCAAGTGCTTTGGGATTCAAAAGAAATAATTGTATTTGCCACAGAATGTAAATTCTTTTTATCATTTACCACTTACGAATTTGACTTAAGAGACATAGCCCTTTTCCCAGCCAGTTAAATTTGCATATGTGTAATTTCTGATTATGCTTGACCCTGTACAAAATAAGCTTTACAACCAACTTTTATTTTAATTTATTTCTTTTTTTAAAAAACCCATGACCCTTCAGTCTGCAGGTTGACGCTCTATCCACTGAGCCAAACCGGTTAGGGCAGCGGTTCTCAACCTGTGGGTCGCGACCCCTTTGGGGGTCGAATGACCCTTTCACAGGGGTCGCCTAAGACCATCCTGCATATCAGATATTTATATTACAATTCATAACAGTAGCAACATTACAGTTATGAAGTGGCAACGAAAATAATTTTATGGTTGGGTCACAACATGAGGAACTGTATTTAAAGGGTCAGAAGAGAAACCACTGGGTTAGGGCTACAACCAACTTTTAATTTTTTTTTTTTTTTTTACCAGATGATGGATTGGACCTAGTATTTGCATTCTGTGGATTTAGGAAACATGATTAAGTAGGTGTCAGATAGCAATATGATTTCCCATGCTGGATCTCAGCATAGAGAGATGATCAGACATGGAAATCAGAGAAGGCTTCTTGGAAAAGTGGTGGTTGACATGAGTCTCAGTTGACTCCTGTGTTGGAAGTCTGGCAGCAGCTTTCCAAGCAGAGAAAGTATCTTCAAAGGAAGGAAAAAAAGGTTCTGAGACGATGCCATCACTAAGGGAGTAATTTGCTGTGCCTGAATTAGATGATAAGTGGGAAATAGTGTAATGGGGGAGAGTGGAAGATGAGGCTGGAACGAAGGTGAAATGAACTACAGATTGAAGGGTACTGTGGTTTACAAGTGTGTGAGAGTAGGACCACTGATGGTTCTTCATGGAGTAGGATTATGCTTAGATTTATATGGCTTTGCCCTAACCGGTTTGGCTCAGCGGATAGAGCGTCGGCCTGCGGACTCAAGGGTCCCAGGTTCGATTCCGGTCAAGGGCATGTATGGAGTAGGATTATGCTTAGATTTATATGGCTTCATCTACAGGGTGGGGCAATACTAGGTGTACAGTTGTTCATCAGGAAAATAATACAGTAAGTCATAAGTAATTCATAAATAATATAAAAAATTCTGTTTCTCATACTAACAACTATAAACCTACTTTTTTTTTTTAATGTATTTTTATTGATTTCAGAGAGGAAGGGAGAGGGATAGAGAGATAGAAACATCAATGATGAGAGAGACTCTTTGATTGGTTGCCTCCTGCATGCTCCCTACTGGGGATCGAGCCCACAACCCAGGCATGTGCCCTTGACTGGAATCGAACCTGGGACCCTTCAGTCCACAGGCCAGCGCTCTATCCACTGAGCCAAACCAGCTAGGGCATAAACCTACTTTTGTACTACCCTTATTTATGAAAATTTTCATTTTGTAAATTATATTTTCTTTCACTTTGTAAGTCAACTTGGAATTAAACTACAATCATGCCCGACTGGCATTACTCAGTGGTTGAGCGTTGAGCTATGAACCAGGAGGTCACGGTTCAATTCCCTGTCAGGACACATGCCCGGGTCGCGGGCTCGATCCCCAGTGTGGGGTTATGCAGAAGGCAGCCAATCAATGATTCTCTTTCATCATTGATGTTTCTCTCTCCCTCCCTCTTTGAAATCAATAAATATGTATTAAAAAAAGAAGTAAACTACAATCATGAACAAAATATACTTGATAATCAGAATATGACTTGTGCTTTGAGTTCAGTATTTTAGTTAGAGTAAGAATTAAAAAATAATTTTTACTGATGTAGATTTTCATTTCATTGCCATTAACAACTGCATGTGTAATTTTGGATAAATGACTTTTTAATTTTTAAAATGCTAACTTTAAATAAACATATGGAATATTGAGCGCCGGAGCCTTTGCTTAGGCTGTGGATATAGGAATGACTTAGTTGTGGTTTCTACTGTCTAAGCCAGGGGTGGGCAAACTTTTTGACTCGAGGGCCACAATGGGTTCTTAAACTGGACTGGAGGGCCGGAACAAAAGCATGGATGGAGTGTTTGTGTGAATTAATATAAATTCAAAGTAAACATCATTACATAAAAGGGTACGGTCTTTTTTTTTTTAGTTTTATTCATTTCAAATGGGCCGGATCCGGCCCGCGGGCCGTAGTTTGCCCACGGCTGGTCTAAGCAGTTGCATCCCAGCAGAGGTGGTCTTTTTTCCTTTGTATAAAATTGGGGATGATAATACTTGTCTAAATGAATACTTGACAACAGTGGATGTGGTTTTGGAGGAAGGCTCTAATATACATAGGAATTAACTCCCAGAAAAGTGAATTACCTACCAGACAATGTTTTTCAGGCTAAATTTCATGAGATAAAATATAGGAAAATATTTGGTACAAATTATAAATCTTTATGGAGGGTAATTATATTGGGCATCATGTCTTATGCTTAAAACTCCAATTTCATTTTCTTTTCCAGGCAAACAACATGGGTGTTGGAGTAGTGGGAATTATAGAATGTAATTTCCTAAAGCCAACTCATAATAAGCAAGATTTCGACTATACTAATGAGTACAGGTGTGTTACCTATTTAACTTTTTGCCTTTTTATATTGTATTTTCGAAATGCTTTCATAACTTTTTCTAAGGATTTTTTTAGTCTATGGATGTTTTTACATTGTGGGACATTAAGGAAATGGGTAGGTGAAAGGTTTGCACAGAAGACACATTTAACCGTCGTCTTTCTTCCTAGAAATTGTGTCCTAGAAATAGAAATATATTCTCCCATCTTTACTAATGAAATATTACTGAGAGTCTCAGAAAATGTGGCCATTAATGTTAGTTGTAAAGTAGGGCAGCACAAACTGTCCTCATAAGCATATGTTCTGGAGTAGAATGCAAATGTCATGTAAATATTGTGGCAAAGACAAATGCCATTGGCCCTCCCCTCAAATAAAGAAAAAAAAAATAAAACAGAAAATGGAAGGAAATAATAAAGGTAACAGTAAAATCAGTGAATTAAGAACCACAGATAATATAGAAAATAAATATATCACTCAGACTTCAATCCTGAGACAGCTAACCCTGTTATGTGAACAGGGATAACTTAATACAAGGAATTGTTAACTATGTCAACGTAAGACAAGTTCAAACCTAAAGAGAATTTTGGTAAGTTTATTTGAGCCAACTGTGGACAATTACCAGGAAGCAAAATCTCAGGATTGAGAAAATGCTCCAGAGAAGGGCAGTTTTGTACCTTATTTTGTACATTGCACTCTGAGGAGACTGGAGAAAGCACAGGGGGAGGCGGGGAATGTCTGGGATGGATAACAGGTAGAAGGAATGGACTTGATTCATTTACCTTTGTGGGTGCAGGATAGGTAACAGTCAACAATTAACACTATAACAGTAACAAGGAGGGCTCTGTGGTCTCTGCTCTGGTGCAGTGATAGTGCCCTGAGGGGTCCAGAAAATAGGAAATTACTTGACATTCCAAAGGTATGTTATCCTATTTACTAAAAGACAATAGACAGGCTCCATTAAGGGTAAAGATCGACCTTTGTCAAGGAAGGTACTGGCCTAGGACATGACTACCCGCCATGACTAGTTTTTAGTTGGGACTTTTTAATTTCAGACCTTCCTGTGTGGTTACTTTTGGTGTGTGATTTTATAAGGCTGCCATGCAGGCCTCCCCTGAGCTTTTCAGGTTTAGTATGTAGCCCCCTTTTTTCGTCCACATCTAGAACAGTAGAAGGTGATTTCTAAAAGGGGTAAAAGATAAAAAAAGAGGAGCTGAAAGCCTCTAGGTTGAAAAAGAGGAAACAGTCAAGGAACTAGGAGAAGGCCCCCACCCCCTGAAGCCAGAGGTTCTGATCTCTCTGTAGAGGTCATGAGAAACATCACAACCAGCCGCCTGCTTGACCAGTGCTGGCCTGTCCTGGGCCTGCTGTCACCAGGGCTGTGGTGGGCTGGAGCCGGTTTGTGAAGATCTGACTCTGCTGGAACCGGGCCTGCTAGGACTGGTCTCCTGCCCAGGGCAGAGCGAGGTCAGGGCACGCCGGAGCTTCCCTCGAGGCTGCTGGGTCCAGCCAGGTGAGCACTGGAGCTCTGGAAGCTGCTGCACCTGGCAGGCCCCTCGCCGCTAGCCCAGCTAACATGGCTCCGGCTGGCGAAGGGCACACGCTCACAGTGCCGAGCTCTAGCGGCATAGAACTGAGCAGGGAAGACTGGCTTTGAGCTGAGGGACAATAAACTGATAGTGACATAATAAAAAAGCTCAAAGTGTGTTCTTTGATAAGATTAATAGTCTGTGAGTATCTGCTAAGATTAAGGGATTAAGGAAGTAAAGGAGAAAACAGCAATTGTCAGTATCAGAAATGGAATAGAGGACAATACTGTAGGTCTAGAGACACAAACAGCTTTATGAAGGGGATAGCATAATCTTTCATCATTTTAGATGATATGAACACATTCCTGTGAAATTAAATCAATTTTTAGAAAACTTTTTACATATTAAATTCAAAGATTTAGGAAAGAGGCACCCAGTCCTTTATAATCTTGCATAACTTTGGTAGTGAACTTATGAATATGTTACAAGAGAAGAAATTGATGTCAGTCTTTCCTTATCCTATCTAATAATAGACAAACATGGTAATTCACTGTACCTTCGCTACGCCTCCCATTGGCTAATCAGCACGATATGCAAATTAACCGCCAACAAAGATGGTGGCTAATTTTCATACTGCAGGCAGGGCGGGACAGCGCGAGCCGCCAGCACGAGCCGCCATCTAGGCCCCCGTGTGCAACCCCAGAAGCCCCAGAAGCCGCCTGATATGGTAGTAACTCTATTAGTAAGCATTCTGAAAGTCGGTGGCATAAATGCACCAATTAAAAGACAGATTATGAGGGTGAATCAAAAACAAAACCCACTTTAAATATAAAGACATATAGATTAAAAGTAAATGAATTAAACTACAGCCTGTTTTGCTCAGTGGATAGAGCATTAGCCCATGGACTGAAGGGTCCCAGGTTTGATTCCAGTCAAGGGCAGCATTTACCTTCGCTGGCTTGATCCCCAGTCCCTATCAGAGCATGTGCAGGAGGCAACCAATCAATGTGTCTCTCCCTTTCCCTTCATTCTTCTTAAAATTCAATGGAAAAATATCCTTGGGTGAAGATTAACAAAAACAAAGTAAATGGATTAAGTAACATTAAAGAGATTATAAGAAAAATATATTCCAAATTTTGTTAGTTGTATAATGGTTATGTTTAAATTATTAACA